GCATTGTTAGTCAATGTATATTCACGTTAGTTTTAGATAGAGCTAGATGTTTAAACAAGTTTATTCCGCAGAAGCATGTAAATGCTATTAAAGCTTGTTAATGAACCATCAAAGCTAATTGATATAGATAACCGGTTATTGGTATCGACTGAGTTAGTATGTTATGAGTACTAACCAATATAACATTACGATAATGCTTGTGAGCATTAATCAGAGGACTATTAGAATAATGGATTTACACAAATAAAAGTCGATTGAGAAGGTTAAGGCGGATCTAAGGATTAGCAATATTAGGCTGCGTTTCTTTAGTTGGGCTCACCAATGTTGAATTATGGTCTACTATGTTATTAGTACTGCTCTAATAATAGACCTAATCCTAAAATTATAGCTTTGTCATGATATAACTGACTAATCTATAAAATCTTACGTGGAAGTCACACCATCGACTACACCAGCACACTGTATCGTATCAATTACCAATACATGATGTAGAACAAGGTTAGTCTAGAGAAGGAACAATATATTTAATATGAATAGAAGATATAAGGTAACATTCAGAAGGACCACGCCTGCATGGTCGAGCCATGCCATCCGATCAACTCCAATCCATTCAATTCATTCTCCGCGCCTTCTCCATTGTTAGGTATTTCCCCGAGTTAAATATTGAATATCTATTTTCCGAGTAGTCTCGTGTTCACAGCTTTGTGGATTGTGTGGCTATTGTCCAATGCCACTACAAACCCATTGTTGTGCGACTCCTCCGACTGCTGAGTCGGATGCGTCTACTACGATGCTGATGGGTGCTTCAGTGTCCTGATGAGCAAGCATTGTTGCTTTAGCGATAAGTTCCTTAACTGTGGAGAATGCTTTCTGTGCGATGTCAACCAACTTGATAGATTTCGCATTTCGACGAAGTTGGTCGGTAAGAGGTTCCATGAGTAACGCGCATTTCGGTATGAAACGTCTATAGAAACTTACAAGACCGTTAAACGTTCGTAGTTGCTTGATCGTGTTCGGTTCTGGGTAATCCGGAATGGCCGCCACTTTGGTTCTAAGGGGCCGAATGCCTTGAGCATTTATAGTATGTCCTAGGAAGTCTAATGAGTCAGTTCTGAATGTTTATAGTAATGCCATGCTCTTGTAGTCGGTCGAAGACAAGATCCAGATGCTGGAGATGGGATTCTCTGTTCGGACTTGCTATTAAACAGTCGTCAGCATACGCATGTACGAAGTTGAGACCTCGAAAAACGTCGTCTATAATCCTTTGGAAGGTTTGTGCAGCGTTTCTTAGACCGAAGGGCATTCGCAAAAATTCGTAAAGTCCGAGAGGAGTTATGATAGCGGTTTTCGGAATGTCGTCAGTGGCCATGGGAATTCGATTATACGCTTTAACCAAGTCGATTTTTGAAAAGACAGTTGTACCTTTCAAGGTAGCTGTCAAATTGTGAATGTGAGGCAACGGGTAACGATCGGGAATGGTTTCGGCATTCAATCGCCGTTAGTCATCAGTTGGACGCCAATCGTTCCTGTCCTTTTTAGGGACCATGTGCAACAGAGATGCCCATGAGCTGTTTGACGGTCTTATGATACCTAAGTCTATCATGTGGTCGAACTCGTTTTTCGCCAACCTTAGCTTTTCGGGGGCTAGTCGGCGTGCTTTAGAGAATACAGGCAATCCTGTAGTCGTGATGTGATGTGTAACGTTGCTGGTCACACACGGTAATTTCTATTGCGATTGGTATATCCCAGAGTACTTATCGGGTAGTGGTTGATATAATGGGTATATTTTGTGCTTAATTGTGACTGGAGATAATCTGCAACCAGAAAAAAAGTTGCGCGAACAGACAAATTAGTATTTCCGTCTACTAGCCTGCGTTTGCACGTATCGATGACTAGATTATGGTGTTATAGAAGGTCCATACCAATGATTGGCATAGAAACATCTCCAACAACGAAGATCCAGTGGATGGGTTTGCGTAAACCCACTTTAAGGTAAACGTACCTTTTGCCATACGTAGCGACAGGTCTTCCGTTTGCCACCTGTAAGTTTAAAGCCGATTCTTGAAGCCGGTCGTTAGAATTTTCAGGAAGAACTCTAACTTCTGCGCCAGTATCGACGAGGTAGCGAACTTCCGTTACTACAACTGTGACGTATAACAGATGGCTATGTTCGCCGGCTACGGTTGCCGTTAACGCGTGCCGGCTTGGTAGTTTCCCTAGTTGTTTTTCGAGATGGGAAAATTGCAGGGTTTTCTGCAATTTCTGGAAGACTTTCCATACTGGTTATGATACCAGCACCAGTCGGGGTTATCCATCTCTCGTGGTCTAGAAACAGATCGCTTACATGAGGTGCTTCTACATGGGGTGTGTGATCGCTTACGGTCGTTACGAAAATTAAGATAACGTGTAAGTGTATGACATAACTCTGCAGTGTCATTCTGGGTAGTTTTAGGCTTTTCTTTGACTGAAAACACCTCGGTAGTAGAAGATTTCGTAATTTCTAAGATACGACCGACAGATGCAGCCAGCTCGTCTAAGGCGTTATTCTGAAACCAGACCAGAACCGCTTGCACCTATTGGGGAAGTTTAGACAAGAAAAGTTGTTTAAGAATAGAACGCTTTAAGGTTTCGTACGGTTCAGAAACATCACTAGTGAACATACTAGGTGTTACGCACCTGTTGGATTTCCCGCGGTGGTGCCTTGATTACTGCGGGGAATTTTGCACGTGTGTCGTTCACGCCGTGCTCGTGGAAGTCGGCTTCTGCGTAACAGAACCAGGGCATGAGTTGGAACGAGGGTGGGGATATGGTCTTAATCTTAAATACCTTAGGAGTCTATTCGGTCATAGGGGAATATTATATACGAGAATACGAGAGAAAAATATACAGATATCCTAAAACACGGAGAAAAAATATCACAATGTATAAAAAATTAAAAATAAGGCAATAATATATAAAAATCCCAAAAAGGAACAGACTCATAGTTGCAATTAGGTGTGCCAGATCACGTTATGCTCACCAATGAAGATGGCACAGGTATTTAGTGTTTGACAACGCTTTTACCAGAAACACCTTCTAATATAACTCGTACCCACCAAGAGAAATCAAAAGTCAGAATCGAGGAGATTAGAAGAGTGTATTTGGCGATAACCAATATATCGGAATTGTCTGGTCTAATCTGGCTAGCGATTGTGGTAGCAGTTGAGCACGGCGTTCCCACACGTGATCTGGTGAGGATGCATGACCGAGCGCCTTCAGCTAGGTGAGTCCACTAAAACTAATCTGGTCAGCATCCAATGTTGAAAACTTACAGAGCTATTTATTTTAGGGATTTATTTACCGCTACACCAGATCACGTCGGGAACACTATTGAAGATACCACAAGTATTCGGATTTGAAAAACTCCCTAACCAGTAACGCTGTTTATAATCGAAACGTGCCAGCCATGTCACGTCAGGGGTCAAAAGCAAAGAGGTAAGAAGATATATTTGGTAAGTTATTGATGTATAGAGAAGTGACTAATCTACGCAGTTGTAGGACAAGTGACGCACGGCGTACCCACTTGTGATCTGGTGCAGATGCGTGACCGAATGCCTTCAGCTAGTTGAGTCCAGTGAAACTAATGCGGTCAGCATAAAATGTCGAGGACTTACATAGCTATTGTTTTTGGGGAATTATTTGCCGCTACACACTGCTACTTTTTAATTCCTTCAGGCACTACCAACTTGTGTTTTAACCTCTCATATCCAAAGTGAAACAACGGAGGTCAAGTCTTCCTCTGATCGAGAACCTCTGAAGAACAAATGGATCACTACTTTTCCATAGTAAAGGTTTGAGGATTGAATCCCGACTTCATCAGGAAAATTAAATCGAAAGCGAGGCAAATTTGTACGGTAGGGTGATTGGTTGAGTCTATATATTTAACTAGGCAGTTGGAGTTAGTTGAGCTGAGAATTTAAACGCATCTCATCGGGGGATTTAATCTAACGGCAACTCCAACCAACTGATCGAGTTGTTCAATACACTTCATAGTTGTCAAATAAAATGACACTAAAGATCCACGTTATATTTTGGTAAGGTCATTCTTTAGACAAACTATTTTCTTTCCCTAGTGGAGCTTGAGGGTATGAGCCGAAGGTATGTCAAGCTGACGTTTGAACGTTTCGGTTGTGTTCCTACTTAAAATCCCAAACAAGCATTGGGACCGAGCAGTATTTAAAATGTGTATATAGAGTTAGTAGAATGCACACGCGACACATGACTTTTTTGAAAATTTATGGACACGTAATAATGAGACATTAGTCAGTACTGATTGCGATTAGAGTTAGGTTTTTCGTCGCATACTAAAACCAGCTACAATGTCAAAATGTTATTTAGCCATATGGATAGGCGGTTCCCGTGTCATAATCCAAGGTCTACCTTAGGTCTAATTGGTTTGTCCTTAAGTCGTGATCTCACCCATAATACTATAAAATATTACGGATGAAGTACGTGACACTAACCAACAAAAATCAGCACTGTCTTTTCGAAGTGTAACAATGCAGATCCTTTCAACACCAATACGGGTACTCGTAACTATTTGTGTGAGCTTTTTAATGAGCTGAGTGGTAGATCCATGTTTAACTAAGTTAAATGTCATTAAAAGTACTAAACCTATTATCCTGGTTTATCCGTAGTTTTAGGCACAAAAGTTGAGATACACATGTGTTGTTTTTGGCTATTCAAGAAACCGTCAATCATAAGAGCTGATTCTGAAATTTGAGATACGATTGGTGGAGTCTGTCAATGTCCACCGTAAACCAATTCCATATCAATCCTTTTTGGTCTTATGTCGCTAAATTGGTCCATTTTGAAGTCGTATTAGCTGTTGCCTAAGCTAAATGATTGTAGGCTTAATTATTCCCGAAATCTGGTTAGCATAACGAAACATGTTTCACATAGAAAACATGGCGTTTCGTTGAGCTTTGCGCAATATTTTAGTACCCAGTGCACGTCATGTTATGTGCCGAGAACTTCCACTAAAAGTAATAAAACTTATATTTGTCCATGTTCGTTCTCCAAATTATGAGAGTTGCTTGCATCCTTTTCTTAACGCTGGGAGGTCTAAAGGTAGAACAGGTGTATTTAACATACTTCTGAGCTATCCTTTGGTAAAAGTCTTACCAAGACATTTCCAAACAGCACCAGTGTTTAAATATCTAACCAAGTGAACCCTGAGTTTCTTGTAACATCTGTGACTTGTATTTTGCTATTTAACAGTACAACAGCTTCAAACAGCAACTAGAGCGTCGCTTCCCAGGGAAACTCGAAATCGTAAGTTAGATATTCTTTAAATTTTTGTACGTCAGTCTGGTGAAGGAACGCCTCAGACAACCGGCTGGTTTGAAGTTCAAGTAATAGGTGGACCACTCTTACATTCAAAAAAAGTACGTTTCGTTTAGCATATGAGTAATTTTTCCCGCATATTTAGAACGGTGACGGATTCGTGGACAGCAAAAAGTTGGAACGTATCTGTAACGCCATCAGGGACCTGTTGTAAAATTAATTATCGTGATGTGTCTCTAACAGCATATGGTGTAAGCCCTATGACTGGATGCAGGTAAAGTAATGCTTGTTTCCACGATGCTTGCTTTACCCATATCTGCTAGAGTATAACACATCCAAGTCTGTAGTTTGTTCTAAAGCAAATATAACATGTCAACAAAATTTGCCGTGTTTCTTAATTCAAAAGCATTGACAAGTGATTAGATTTTCAGTTCTGTTGTACACAAACGTTAGATACATATAGTTAGCTAATCCAATGACTGCTTTGTTCAGTCAGAATTTTCGTATAACTACAAATAGGCGTACTGAGTTGTAGTGCAAGAGTTCTTAATTTCAGTCGTTCATCAATTTCGTATGCAGGATTGTCCGTGAGTTATTTCTTCATTTGATTATCTCCGGGTGTTCAACGTACCAAATATGATGAGTTGAGGATTAGACATATTTATATTGTAGAGACTGAAACATTTTCGTTTGAAATGCTATGGCTCTGATATTATAATGCTTTCTGACTAAGATGGTCTTCGATTCTGTAAATTTCCCTACCCGGTGTTGTCCACTATCTCCGTTGTTCGATCTCATCGTGGACATACTGCTGGAAATAACGTTCTCGTCGACTGAATTTTCGGGCATTGGTCTCCATCCAGGAGGTCCAATTATCGATTTGGAATACGCAGGTGATATAGTCTTGTTCGGTGAAGGCTATGGTAAAGTGCAGTCTTTTGGTAGCACTGAGCAACAATGCGAAGATGTTTGGGATGCGTTTCTCCCCCTCATAATGCAAGTTGTCACTTCGGGACTGGTCTGCGTCAGCACCTGAACTAAGGATAGGGAGTGGAGTAGTCGGGTGCGTTGACAACTTCACTTATCTTGGAAGTCTGATCAACCGTAATGGGTTGGTGTCTGGCGAAATCTCAGCACGGATTCAGAAAGCTTGCTTGGCTTTTACCAACTTACGTGACTTATGGCGAAGGTGAGATATCTGTCTATCAACTAGAGGACGAATATACTAAGCAGCAGTTCTGCGTGACTATCGTGACCAATGGTTGGAGACTGTAACATGGCTCCGAATCGATCACAATGGCTTAGGTGTATACACTCTGTCTTCCCTTAAACCATCAGATTAAAATCGCTTTATATCTTTCCTTCTACGAACTAATTCTTTCTTCCTGTACTATGTCCTTATATGCAATCTTTCTTTTATATATTCCTACCACTGAATTAACTACTATGAATCCGGTGTTCATCCTGTCGTGTTAATGAGGTGTGGTAACTTGGACCGATGCATATAAGTGCCTAGCTCTATGTTGTAGCTGACTGACCTATTCACACTGACAAACGCTTCCTCATAATCAAGGAAGTTGATACATAGTGACGAATTCAATTCAAGTGACTGCTCAACACTGATCCTTAGTGTCGCGATTTGTTTTGTGCACGACCGATTCTTACAGAATCTCGAAATTGGACGGCTACTGAGTCTTTCATCCAGTCCAGCAACACTGTTGAAAACCTTTTAGGGTACTGACAGTAGTGTGATGCCTCTGTAGTCCTCACATTTGTCGAGATCCCCTTTCTTTTCTTGATGGGATGTCCTTTCCAGTCCATCGGCACTTTCTCCTCCTCCCGAATCTTCCTGAATAGAATGTGGAGCATGTTTGCCGTTGCTTCTATATGTGACCTCACTGCTTCAGCTGGTATGTTGTCAGGTCCTACTGCTTTCTCAATCCTGATTTGTCTGATGGTCATCCTGAATTCCTCTATCGCTGGCGGAGTGATATCTACAAGTATGTGATCTGTCTGGTTCTCCATCGTGTGGTTCGGTGGGACACATGTGACATCGTGTATGCTATCTCAGCTCCTTTCCTGCTTGCATCTTCCAGCGACCTTTTGGATATTCTGGTGATATAGATATGATTGGTCTGGTTCTCTGTGGTCTGATCCGGTGAGACCCATGTAGCTTTGTGTATGTGTTTGTGTGGGAATGTTGTGCCACCTATAACCATTTTGTTGAATGCACATAAATTCACAGATCTCACCATTCTCGTTCATTTCTTCCAGTCAGTCCGTGTCGTTCCATGATATCTTCATAGCCGGTTTTGTCCATTCAGACTTTTGAGTTTAGATCTCCCATCAGGACGGTCATATGGTTTCCTGAGCACTTCTCTATGATTGACTGCAGCCTCTCGTAAAACTAATGTTTATTGTCGTTGCTACCATTGGTGAGTGCATGACATTGGGTAAAATTCATTGTGACTCCCTCCTCTGTTTTGAAGGATGCTTTGATGATTCTGGATCCATGAGATTCCCACCATATAAATGGTTTATATGCATCCTTGGACTGCATCAGAGCAACTCGATGAGTGTGTGGAGCATTTTCTTCTTCGTAACCAGAGTGCAGCAGCATCTCTCTCGAATCTATCCTTTTCTGTTCAACTTGGATCTAATGGGTCTCACTGATTCCGAGGGCCGTCAGGTTGTACCTCCTCATTTCCATAGCTATTTGATTGGTCTTCCTAGTCTCTCCGGACATTCCGTGTGCCTATATTAATTGTTGCACTGGTTGTTGAATTGGTATCAGCCTCGTGACTTCGGAAGAATATCGGCTTTCACCATGAAGCGTCATATATCTTCTGAAAGATCACTCAACACCCGGGACATTGTTCGAATGGTTTGATTTGTTTGTTCGGGTTGGCGTCTTTTTAGCAAGGTTGTTTTCTACGGAATGGGGACGCTGACCCTACTTTTAACTACAGGCGGAGTTTTCCATCATAATATATATACTTCAATCTTATTAATTGATTCGATCCCCTTTGACTATGAATCCGCTTGCTCGAGCGTAACAGATTGCCTGTTCAAATTCTCTTGGTGTGTTTGTTATTTGCGCTGTCCAATAATAAACTGCAGTCGGCGTTTCGTGTCGCTTTCTGGATTTATACACCGTTGGGATTTAATTAACAACGGTTATCATGGTGATTGATAAACGAAGCCTAAGGAATTACCTCGAAGACAAGCCATTACAAACTAACTTGTATATTTTTAATGAGTATCTATTAAGCAGCCCTTTATAGCATTTTCGTATTATCTTAATTGGAAATTGTCTTCCGACTCATTAATCGTTGCCAACTTGAAATCGGTCGACCAATCCTAAACTTTTACTCAGTCTTGTATTTCTAATATCCAGGTTATGTACCTAATGGGATCTACTAATTGAGTTGATTTGCGGACTTGCAGTTTACCTACGTAATCATATGATTTATGGATATAAATGAGGTACTTGTTATCATCCATCTGGCTTCCCCTTGTTTTTATTGGATGCTTAGGACAGGAATTTGTGTGGTCTATCGATTACGTCAAGAGTACAATAATGAAGCCAGTGAATTTATAGCTTATGACGTATCCAAGATCATAATAATGTTTCAATCTGAGTAAAAAACCATATAATTTCATCATCCAACCTGAAATTCATTAGTGAGCAGTCATAAGAAAATAAATATACATGTCTTATCAAACTGTAAAACGCACTGAACATGTATCATATTTATACAGTGACATAAACGAACATGCATCAAGTAACGTGATGCGTAGTAGCACATTTCCACCAGCTGTTCTTGATAGATATAAATATCTGAAAGAAAAGTACATTAACCAAATCCAAATTTTACGGTATTACATTAGTAGTTTGGAGAGGAGGGTACTCCCAGTGACCCATTGATAACGCGACAAAGATTTAGTTTATCTGTAACTGCATTAAAGAATAATTAGTTTTACCTTACGACCTACAAACATTATTAGAGTTAGAGTCAGGAACTTGCTGACTATTGACAGAGTAATTCTTTACATTATGAACGGGAACATAGCGACCATGCAAAAGAAATAGGTATAAACTAATTTGTTCGATTCGTATGCAGATTATAAGTATCATATTCTTTGCGGGTGTATTGTGCCCCAATTAGGTACATGATTTGATTCTGTAATCATATGAATGTATCATTGTTAGCATAAGTTACTAAGCATTTCTCCACATTATTCATCTCTGCCCGTGGCTTTACAACATAAACATCCATACTAAAATAATCTATTTCATAAAGATTCCTTAACCACCATTAGTTTGTCAAAACCACCATAAAACTAAGGTCTAATTATTTATTGATAAAAAAGTTATAAAACAACTTTAAAAGGGAATTTGTAAACAAACATCGAGAAATAATTGATAATACTGTCAACAATTATTAGACGAACAGGACACAAAAAATGTTCGGTTCATTTTTTCCTCCAAAAAATAAAAGTTAATTTACAGGTTATCATCTACAACAATTTTATAAAATAGACAAGACACATACAACTTTTTTCACAGCCAATTACAATTAATTATTCTTCTACTCCAAATAAATAAGTACACAGGAAGAAAGATACAAACAGGTCTTTGGAACATTATTCTTAATCATTTAACAAGAATAGCTGACAAGGAAAATTAGTAAACTAATACACAAAAGAAGGATACCACTGAGTTTTAATAAAATTGAATAAATAAATCTATCGATCCACTCCGCCATCTTGAATTTTCACCACATTCTGGATTACATGACGGGCAATTAGTAAATGTATTAAACCAACGTGTTGTGCACTTAGCACAAAATTTATGCTATACACATACATGCAAATGGGAAAATTTATTTTAAAAAAATATGTGAATAAATGAGTATTTATCATGATTGAAAAATAAGTGAAACTATTTAGATTAAAAAAGGCAATCTTGTTGTAGTTTTCTTTCATATTCTTTGTAAATTGGGAGGAACTTCCTTGGGTGAAAGAAATCTTCCTTGGTTGTACATTTAACTAAACTATATCCCCTAACACACAATATTCTTGCCCAGTTACATTTTTGGATTATATTTCTATTCCTTACTTTACTTTTTCTCAATATTATCTCTTTATTTATGTGGTGCAAACCTTTTTTGGTGTCCAACTGTACCACAAAGTATGTAAATTAAATACATCTTAGAAAATTGGTTTTCAATAGAAGTTCTCCTTACCAAAAATGTCCAATTCATTAATTTATTAAAATCATATGTAAACAATAAATAATACTTTTTCATAACTTTCCCAATTATTTAACGCTGTAAAAATTGACTTACATTACAAGACAAAATGCCAACATGAGTATAAGATTCAAGGCACATATTACAAACTTCATTCGATGGCGCCTGCATTTCAACTGTATATGGCTGTATAAAATAATTGATAAACAGTATACGTGTAAACAGTGTTCGTGCGCTATGCTAATATTTTGAAAATCCAACTTCAATACAGTGAACAAGATGGTTTCTATCCTCTAACTCTCTGCCTCGCTAAGTTTCGCAATTGAAAATTAGTCGGTAATAGCTCCGGTAGAATTAAAAACACGTTTAAGTTAGTTGGTTATATATCAGTTACAGTGATCGGAATTTATCAACTAACTGAGTGTCACTAGACACAAATCATAGTAAAATGCATTAGAATTTTATAAAGTAATGTGACGAAAATGTGCTGAAAGTTGACCTTACATTACCCTTAAATTGATATTAATTTTCTGTCTCATAAGTTGTATTTGGGGAATTAACATCTCCAACAAAGTTTCTTATTTATCGTTCTTTGAATAGTACTATTACTCATCAATTTCAGCATAGGAAAAGTTATGCAAACAGGCAGTCTGTAAACCTGTCCAATTTAAAGACTGTGTTCATCAAAGACAGATATCATCTAGAAATCTATTGAAAACTTGAGAGCACTGGGTATCTGCTCCGTCTTAGTTTAAGAATGCTCGATTGCGGGTATTTGTGAACGTTATGAAATCGAACTTATGACTTGAAGATTTTACAGTAAGAATGACAGTCAGAATCTAAACGCTCCATATTTTTGAGTTCAGCCATTAAATGATGCGTAGCAATCACAAACCTATAAAATCGGTGTTGATTGTTTCATTCCGACATGGTTGACTCTAGAGATCAGAAGTCATAACTGATATCACATTTCCTGATAAACCAACTTTCAAACTATTACGTGAGTCCCGATCCAAAAAATCCAGCATAATCTCGTTAAGACAGACAAGTCTAAACACAATTTCATTTTCATTAAAAAAATAAATCCCATCAAAACTAAGGATAGCTTGATGGCGAAGAAATATGACAAACCTGTACTCACTTTTGTACATATAATCGAACGTGAAAATTTCATAAACTCTTTACATAATGAAAGTATAATACAAACCTAGGAGAAAAAAATAAAAAAATAACGTACATAGAAAATTGATGGCCCTCAGTTACTTACTGAATATCAAGATTTCAAACTAAATAACTTTGGATTTTCTCACTACACTGGTATTATTTGGACTTTAGTTCCAGTGTTTTTCATTCCTTTGTCATAAGCCAGTTAATTTGGCAAAGAAATCCTTTTCAACGATTTCATTTTCAAAACTGCACAAATAACATATACATAAACAGAGATGTTCCGATTGATATTACTATACAGACATTTTTGTTTTACATTATGTTAACTTCGACTTGCTACACTGATATAAAGTGTAGGAATAGGAATAACAACAATAACTGCCTGATTCGATATCAAAAATTTCGTTAAAGCAACAAATTTATAAAACCAATAATATAATTTAATAGATTACTGTTGAATATACATTTAAGTCGTAATTTTAAGAAATATACCTAAAATTCCGCGCGCGCTAATTAAAAGGACAGTGGTATTTTTCCTCGCTGAGTAAATCCTATTGTTTTGATCGTTTATTACGTATGAAGACTACTGTTTTCACTTTAATTGAATTTATTTCAGTTAAAGTATTCGATTAGAGTATCGTTTCTGTTTCTAAATTAGTTTGTCGCCGGTACTTTTGAGTACTTTGTTTTCTGTTTTATCCGTTAGTACTTTTGGTTCTAACAAGCCACAGTTTTCCACTTTTTTTGGTCATAGATCATTTTTGTCTGAGTATTATTGCATCTAGTTCTTTTTTCTTTAAAAAGAAGACCCCTGTTTAATGACTGGACAGTGCAATCAAAAGCAAATGCCAACGTTCGGGCTGTCGTTATCGCGTTAAAAGCGGCATGCAGTGCGATGAGTGCAAAGGCTGGTACCACGAAGTTTGCACGAATTTAACGCCTGCGGCTTTCAAACGGTTCAGTAAAAACGGCTGCGTATGGCTTTGTCAACAGTGCTGTTCGGATGCAAACAGCTTGCTAACCGAGGCCATTTCATTGGTAAATGCTGCAAAAGTGTTTTGGCAAGCGTGGTCGGGACACATCGTACAGTACTCGCTCTGTTGACACGCCAATTGGTGTGAGGCAAACTCAGGTAAGTTCGAAAACAGGTGACTCACACCAACCAAAGGAGGAAAAACAATCTTCAAAGACGTCTGTCTTAACCAAAAATTCGAAAAAGGAGTTTCCTCTGTCCTCCATCTTCTAAATGGTATCCAGCAAGAAACGCCTAGAAGCCGCATTCGCAAGGCTCGATCGGTTTCTATTTATTTATTATTATTTATTTGAACACATAAATATTGGTACAAGAAGGCACCAACTATATGTGCGCCACATAAAACAATGAGAATTCGAAGGAAAAAAACAATAACGAACAGATTAGCGTAATAATAATAATGACAATAATAATAATAATAATAACAATAATAATGGGACAAAAGGAAAGGTACAATCAGAAATCTTTCAGTTAAGGAAGAAACAACCATTTTTTTTAATGAAGAAAGTAAAAGAAGGTTACAGCAGGATCTCCATTGGCTTCTATTCTGAGCCATGTCTGATAACGTCTCTAGCCAATGTGTTGCACCATCTCTAGGACCCCAAACAGGGAGCCGTGAAGGACCAACACAGGCCAGCCCTTTGCAGCTTTTTTTCATACCACGACACCATGTCATACATTGACCACCTCTCCGCTATTTCCCAACCCGTCCCAGCATCGGCAAATAATGCACGACGTGGGATTCTCTGGGACGACATTCGGAGAACATGTCCTAGCCACCGAAGTCGATGATTCAAGATGGTGACATCAATTGGATTATCATCTCTGTGCCCGAACACACGATGCCGAACCTCTGCATTACTAACATGGTGTTGCCACTGGATGTCAACAATCCTTCGGAGACAACGATGATCAAACACAGAGAGTCGTCTAACATCCTCAACTCGGAGAGGCCAGGTTTCACGAGTATAGAGTAGAACTGCTCTCACCGATGCGTTGTAGATCCGACCTTTTACAGCCAGACTAACATCACGAAGGCGCCAAAGATGGCCCAGATTGGCATAAGCCGCCCTGGCTTTCACTATACGTGCATTGATCTCATCACCCATGCCAACACCAGCACTTATGCAGCTACCTAGATACACGAACTTCTCGACTAATTCTATCTGCTCACCATCCAAGGTGAGTACAGGCGGCCAAACCGAAACATGGCACAAGTCCATGAAGTCACTGACAAGTGGACTGAGTCATGTTGGTAGGTGTAGACTACCTGGTTGGGGACCACGAGATGATAGCAACCGATGGTTAAAGACCCTGAATGACATGGCACAAAATCGTTTGCAATGGCACAGGTGCATCCACTCTCTGTATTCTCCCAAATTCTAATCTTCTGAATTCTTCATGTCCCTTTTTTCCTCTTTCCAAATTTATTTCACTGGATTATACTCTTTAAATAACATCTCCAAACCTTAATCTTCCCGATTACTGCTTATACTCTTATTACCTCTACCACTACGGGATTTGAATCGACAACTGCATCTCTGTGCTAATGTGGTGTGGCAACTCGAACTGATGTACGTACGTACGAAGTTCTACGTTGTTACTGACTGACAGGATTAGAATCCTGCCAGTCTTGTAGAAGTACTTTGCACTTCAAAGGTGCAAAACACATACCATACTCACGGGCACTAATTGCTACCTGGTTAAGTGTAGATTGCATGGCTTGAGTATCGTCGCCCAGTAAGACAATATCACCTGCATACTTAAAATCGAGAAGTCTTTCTCCAGGCAAAAAACCCTCACCACCATTGCTTACAGAGCTGTTTTCAGAACGTCATTGGTACCAAAATGGAAGAGGAATGGTGAGATTGGGCAGCCCTGTCTAACCCCACTGCTCGAATGGAACAGTGGAGAGAGGTGGTTGTATGCCCTCACTCTACCTGAGGTGTTTGTATTATTGTTATATCCGAGTGGAGATTAAATTACAGGTAACTTCCGAGGACTATTCATGGACTAATATTCTATAAATATTCTTATTGTATAACTATTCAACAATTACATTATGTATATTTATATCCCTCTTATGACAAGCTTTATTTTGGCCTATAATTTATTATTGTACGATTTACGGTTCTTAAGTTATGTTCAGTTTATTAACTACTGCCTCCCTCATTCACAGCCACTTTTTGGGCTTATTTGTGTACAAATATTATTTCCTATTTTATGGTACGTTGCGGTCTGTGTGATTGATATATAAACCAAGTATGCCTGAAATAAACGATCTGCTCTGATTCGAAGTTGGTATTGTGTTCTGGACTCAAGTGGAAGGGCTCGTAGGACATAGGACCAATAAGGACGCTAAACTGCCCACACCGGTTGAATGTCATTGGTTGGCCTAGTGTGAAGATTCGTATAAGTCGTATTCGGATTGGTAGATAAGTCGTGTGATTGAAAAGACAGACATCCAAGGTCATAACAATTGGCGACGGGGATTTTGGCAAAAACAAAATAATTGGGAGACGCAAGGTCATAACAATTATATAGGGCTCTCAAGATGTTATTAAACTTCTCAGGCACACCCTTCTTCAATAGACAATCCCAGAGAACAGTCTTGTCCGACGAATCGATGGCAGCCCTAACACCAAGAAACACTACGATTGTTGGCCTTTGATAAATATGACGGTGTTCTAACATTTGAGGGAGGGTGAAGATATGATCCTCGACTAGAACGAAAGCAAGTCTGCTCCTCGCGAGTCAATCTTTCTCGGATAGACAACAAACGTCGATATTAAGACTTTCCAAAGACATATCCAGCCCTGTCTGTTGTCCGACCTGCATAAGTGTGCGAACGTTGAAGACAGCCAGTTTGAATGGTGCACGTGGTTTCAGAAAAACTGCTTTAGTATTCGTATTTGGTGGTAGCATAAAATTTTCAACCAGGCAGTGACTCGAGAACGTTTAGATAGAACCGAGTTTCCACCATAGGCGAGCTCCTGTATAAGTGGAAAAGTAAGGATACATAAAATGGAAATAAAAGAGAGTGAATAAATGACATGGTAAATAATAATAATAACGTGAATTGTTTGACTGTAAACCGAAGCGAGAATAAAGTCTAATCCATAAGACAGTGGAGCAACGTAAGGAGATGCAGTCCCATCGTAGACGGTGACCAACGATTGGTAAATACGCCATTTGTTCCAGAAGGATACTGGAGCTCATGTGCACCATTGGTTTGGGATCCGGTTAAAGCACCGGACATTTGCTTTTCGTCCTCTCATTTTCATAAACAACACCCCCGCCACGAGACGGCAGTAAGTAGGACTTCCCTGGCAGAGCCTGTATACGCATGACCGTGTTAGAGCATTTCGAGAGGGGGGCGTCCCACCCCACTCTCGGCCATACCACGGTACTTGGGGGCCGATCGGTTTTTAGCGGGAAACATAATCTGACCTCCCAAATCGTCGACAACCCTCAGGAATCCCACAGTAGGTTTTACACAACTGTGGTTGCTTCTCCTACCAACGTTGGCGAATGGATACACGATGTAAGGAAGAAACAAGATAGCGATATAAAAGGGAATCCTGCCCCCATAAAAGTAGTCGAAAAATCGAAGGATGATCACAGTGACAGATCAGTTATTTTTCACAGAATCAAGGAGAGTGAGAGCTCTGAACCAAAAACTCGTTTTGAACATGACATTGTGCTGATAAAACAGCTACTTAACCAACTTATGCCTGAAAATATCCCCGGAGTCACCTTGCTTAAGGTGTACAGACTAGGGAGTCTAGCGGACTCGAAACCAAATCATTCCAGACTGCTTAAAGTAGTATTCAAATCTTCGAATGAACGCGACTTAACTTTGCAGAAAGGACATAAACTAAAGGGTTCGGGAGTTTTTATCCGTAAGGAATTGTCGTTGGCAGACCGCGTAAAAAGACGGAAAGACAAAAAAGAACTACAAATTAGGTTAGACGCTGGCGAAAAAGACATAAAAATTGTAAATTTTC